ACCACCACCATCATTATCATCATCACCTACAAGACTCTTTTTTCTTTGCCAAAAAAAAAAAAATAAAAAAGTTATTAAAATATGTTTATGTGTTTTTATTACCAACATAAAATAAATATTAATAATTTTGAAAATTTTAATAATAACGACGACGACGACGATGATGATGATGATGATGATAATAATAATAATATATTTTCCCGTGTAATGAAAAAACAAAATTAAAAAATTTTTATTAATAATAAATATTTATTAATAATAAAAAAAAAGAAAATTTATTTTTCATGAAATTTTCCTCGTTTTAAAAAACCTTCACCCTTTAAACTACACACATCACGTGATCAAATATTAATTTATTAATAATAATAATTAACTTACGAATTATTTATTACGTGATGCCTGGTTTATCAAGTACAAAATTGTATATAACAAATTTCAATAATAATAATAATAATGATAATAATTAATTCGAGCGGAAAATTGATTCCCCTCGACGAAAAAAACCATTTACAAAAATTTATATATATATCAATATTATTATTATTATTATTGTTAATCGACCGTGAACGTTTTAATTTAAAATATTTATTATTAATAATTTAAATTTTAATAAAAGAAAAAAAAAAAGGAAAATTTTGGGGAAAAAACTTTTCCTTTTCCTTTTCATTTTTTTTTTTTCAAAATTTATGTATTTTAATTAAGTTAGAGTCGAAAAAAACTTTTCTTTTTTTCCCCCCCCCTTAAAAATTTCAGGTGCATAAAATTACCCCTAATAAATAATAATAATAATAATAATAATAAATTTTATATAATTAATAGATTTATTATTATTATTATTATTAAGTTCAAGAAAAAAATTTTATTTTTATATAATTTCCGTTGTGGAAAACAAAAAGCTGGTGGGGTCGTGTAATTAATTGAATATTAATCGATCCGCTACAAAATCAATAATCGATTATTTATATATATCGATAATCGATAATAAATTAAAGGGGAAAAATTAATTTTTAAAATAATAATGATAATATAAGGTTCACAGATATGTGTGTGTGTTTCGTACCCACCTTGAAAAGCAGCTTCGAATTGTGTTTTTTGCTGTTGTCCTTCTTCTAATAATTTTTTATCCTTATCAGAACCGAAAACAATATTTAAACATAACCAACATAAAAAAAAGTAATAAATTATTTTATCCGCCATTTTGTTTTAAACATAAAAATACAAAACGAAATAATAATAATAAATAATTAATTAATTAATTATTTCATTTAATTTTTTATCACTTTTATATTTTACTTTATATAAATAATAATAATAATAATGAAATACTTTTACATAACTTTATTTACCACCGAAATCGTTTGTAAAATAATAATAATAATAATAATAATTTTTTTTTTTAAATAATAAAAATCACGCGCCGTGTGGCGGCCATTTTATTTTAATTTTTTTCGATTCCATTCTCTTTATTTTTCTTCGTTTTTCTTCTTCCTGTTAAATATCCAATATTATTTTCCTTTATATTATTATATCACGACAATATTATTGAAAAAAAAAAAATAAATAAAAACGACAGAAAATTTTTTTCCGTTTTTATTATTATTTAAACAAAAAAAATTTTTTTATTTAAACAATTTATTGACAAAAAACCAAAAAATTTTAAACGTTTTTAATAAAATGTTAATAAAATATTTAATATATATATATACAAGTTAATAATATATAATATATATATATTTATAACCGGAATAATCGATAAATTTTAAAACACGTTCGCGTGTAAAAATAATAATAATAATAGAAATTTCAACAAAAATCAATCGGGGGAAAATTAATAAAAAATAAACAAACGAAAGAAAAAAAAAAGGAAAAAACCCGGAAAATTTTTATTCGATGAATAATATATATATATAAAATAAATAAAAAAATTTTTTTTTTTAATGCGAATATATAAATATATATGTATATATAAACGAGCGTTCAACCGTTCGACCGTTCGACTAACTTAAATTTTCCAACCGCCGCCATTACGCGCATGTACAATTAATAAATGGCGACGACGAACGCCGTCTCCTCGATCGAAACACTTTCGATATGTATATAAAACAAACGCGACTGACTAAGTTTACACCCTCGCTCCGGTTTTCCCTGGAAAATTTTTTTTAAGTGAGGTTATTGTCTTCCACATTGATCCATTTCTTTTTAACTCGGTCGGTTAATAATAATAATTTTTTTGTCAATTTTTTTTTTTAAATTCGAGATATCGAAATACCGGATGTTTTTTTTTTTTTTTAAATTTACACATTTCCGATTATAAAAAAAAAAAAAAAAAGTTTTAAAACAA